AAGTGCATTAATCTGTTCTTTGATGTTGGACTCAATCGTGTTTTGCGCATTACGTCATTTGAAATTTTGGATCACAAATAAACCGCTAAGCCGCGTATAGCAATGTATTCCAAACCGCACTCTATAGCAAATGATTGGGCTGAAATTGCAGACACCTAGAGAGACCGGCGTTCTCCAGAACTTCGACAATACTTTTTGGCCGCTAAGAATTGGGTTCGACAGAAAACTTAAAGGCCTGCATAGTTTGAGAAATGCTGTAGGACGGCAAACCCGTTGGAACCATCCCTAGGTGAAATGTTCCATTTATAAATAGGTAACTTAAAATTAAAAGTAAACCGCGTATTTGGGGCATTCTAATCTACCCGTAAATTGAATTAATTGGAATAACACCAGCATTCAATGCAGTTCAAATGCATTTCGATTATTATGTTTTGGGCATAACTCGTACCCACAATCGATCCAGTAAATACCTTACGACTGAACTGGTACTGAATTGTTTTACTGCGAAATATGTGAAAACTAGGAGAAGCAAACCTTTAATCATTGGCGAAAAAACTAGGTTAAGGGGTCACGTAATATATTTCCCACACACGTAATCCTTGTCTTAATGAAAAATAAAGGAATCTTGTAGTGGATTTCCAATCTTATCTTGATTAGGCAATACAATTAAATGGGCTCGTGGAAATTTATATGCAGGTAGTTGTACACGAAAAACAGATTCAAATAAACTAGGGGTTTAATAGATTAATTTACAACCCAGACAATTTGTAAGCCACAGGGGACATACGTTTTGGGGGAAGTCGTCGAGCTCGGTGACACATCAAGACATCGCCAGGGAAGGATTAAATATTACTGATATTGTAGGCCCGAGCTTTGAATTAAATTAAAGCGCGATGTTGTGAGATGTGCTGTTACTGTTTATTAAATTAAAATGTAAAACATTTAGGGGACAACGAGTTTGAAGGCTTAAATTTTAAGCCGCTCTTGCTTTGCCCCGCTATGAAATTAAATAATAAATCTTAATTTGATTTTTTCACAATAAATTACTTTTTCAAATTTGAACTCGCACAAGAAGTAGCAAGATTCTCACCCTTCGCTCTATTTCATCGTAGTTGTAGTTTGAACGGCATTAAAACCATTATTTAAGAGTAGTATCATTAGCGTCCTAAATAGCAAGAAAATTTTATATACCAAAGTAAGTCACGTAGTTAAAAAAGTCCAAACTATAAAAGGTGGAGATATTTTCATGAAAATTTTCATCGGAAATGTCATGAGAGTGCGGATAAAAAAGTGTAAAATGAGTAAACTTTTTTTTAGTCTTTTACTGTATGCAGATTCCATTTTACCGCCTCCACTCTTCTCTATCCATTGCTTTTCTTTTCATATCCACGTATCCTCTTTCAGATCGTCTACCATCTTCACTCATCTTCTTCTTTCCCTTGTACCTTCCACGGCTCCTTCGATCATTCCTATTCCCTCTTAGTACATGGTCTTCTCATCAAGATTGTCTTATACAAGAATCTTCCTTGTGCTATTTGTTCTAGTACCTGTTCGTTTCTAATCCTGTCAGATCGCTTTATTCCAATAAGGATTCGTCGCGGCATGGCTTCAATTTTTTTCTTACCTTTTTTCAAAATTGTCCACGTTTCACATCCGTACACAGCATAGCGGCATTATAGCTCAGTGGTATAGAGCGTTGGGGTATAAATCCGGAGGTCGGGTGTTCGAACCTGGTTTGAGGTGAATTTTTCATCTGTGGCAGAGATGGGAATTTCCTTAGATCAGTTTCGAGCATTCTGCCGGCTACTCCGAATTAGGTTTTCCTGCAGTTTTCCAAATTCGTAAGGTAAATACCGGAGTAGTATAGGACAACTTAAGACCTTCTGCAGGGGCACCACTAAAAAGCATTATTTATTTATTTATTTATTTAATTAAAATAAATAACACTCCACACAAAGCACTTCACTATTCTTTCCTTCTAACAAATGCTTCTTTTGCCACTCCAATGCGCGTTTTTATTTCTTTCCATCTTTTCCTGTTACAGTGGTTCCGAGATATCTACAGCATTTCATCTTGCATGTCTTCTGCTTCTCCTAACCATGTTCCTTTCCCCCATTTTCAAGTTGTTTAATTAATACTTTCAGATCTTCTGTATTTTCTGAGCACAGAAGAGTGTCATCAGCAAACCGAATGGATCTCCAACACTTTTTATGTTTCTTACGTTTCGCAAAGGGTGGTGGGAGATGATATGGGGGTGGATCATTGCAATCTGGTACCAAGCGTCGATGAGCGCTTTTATTCTTAAAAATTTTTTTGGTAATTCACTTGGCGTCGGAGGTAATCATCATAAGAGAAATGTCTATTTTTCTCCAATCATCTGATATAAGTATTTGGAATCTCCGTTATTTCATTATAAATTCACCTGTACCACATTAGTGAAGTCAAAAGTGTATTTCACAGCCCTTGAATTATTACTAAATTTGAAAGAAAAAAAAGTACATTGAAGGTATACTGATCTTGGCTGAGCATTCTAGAACACTTAAAAAATAGGTTGTTCACTCTTCTACATGAGTATAGGTAAATATCTAAAGGCGAGGAAAACTAACAATCAAAAAACTTATTAGCTTAAAAAATGTCGTTGTGCCAGAGGGTAACCGAAATAATTTTTGCCAAAAAAAAACTTTCATGTGAATTAGAACTACAGGACGACAGAGGTATACATTTGTGCGTATGATTTGTGTCATTGTGGAGGCATTAAATAAAAAAAGATTTTCCGCCATCATCTATAAATTCTGTCGTCGTTTAACTCTATAGTCCTACTCGCACTACATTTACCTAAAAAAAGGCGACTAGCTTTTTTAGCGCATATGTGCTCGATTTTCCATCGTCTGTCTGTCTGTTCCATCGAGATCTCGACTCCTGGCCCACCTAGAGACTTCTGGTTTTCGCTAATTGACAGCTGCTATGGTCTATATTTGCCTGTCACTCATCGTTTACAGGTGTGTTACGCAGCAACACCCACGAGTGGATTTTGAAACATTTTTATAAATTATTCTTAATAAAATTACGCCCCTTAAGTGTAGACTTATTGTAACAATTCCTATCTAAGCGCCCCTAAAACTGTTTCGCTCGTACCCACTACACATAAATTATTTAATAAAATTACGCGTAAATCATAGGTATTGGCGTTGTTTAAGGGATGCTAAGTGTAGATTTATTACAATAATTCCTACCTAAGTGCCCCTAAAATTACCTCGGTCGTACCAACTGACTGAGTTTATATAAATTATTATTAAGAAAATTGCGAGTATGAAAACGAATCGACCGATTTAAAAAATCAAACGTCAAAATAAAGGACTTCGAAAGACCTTTCAAACAAGCTATTACTTGATACCACTTGTCATTTAAAATTTTTAAGGGAGTGACCCTGGGAGTAGAGGGTGAAAGGGGGTGAAATACTTTTTAGTTAAAAAGTTGTCTCCCTTCTTTTGACGTGTCTCGGCGTTTTTTTTCCTTTAATAAGTGGTTTTCGATAAATCCGTGGTGTGCTAGGTTTTCAAATGAACACCCTGTATTAGCAAGAGCTTTTCTTGTGATTCGACCTGTTTGAGATTCAACTATGTTTTACCAAATGTAAATGCAACAAAACTGTTCAATTAAAAGATATTAAGTGCAAACATTTTCGACGATGTAGTGAAAATCCCTGTTTAAAGTATCGTTTCCAGTGTTCATTTTGATGTAGTGCTATAGGTACGTGTATAAAAAAACTTGTCAAACAACTTGATATTTCAAGTACTTTGACATTTAAGTAATTTTCACTTGAGCTTGCCTTGATTTCAAGTCATTGTCAAGTATTGAATCCCGACCCCGAGTACTCTTCACTAAAAGTACGAGGTTATTCTAAAATCTAATAAAATACACTGTATCCGGTTATCAATTTCTTTCTACGTATCTGGAGCTTTAAGGAACCAATGACATTTTTGCTTCATGAATCTTCACCATCTTCACCTTCTTATCCCTTTATTAGTGTACTCGTAAGTATAAGAGTACTTATGATAGTATGGTACATTAAAATAAAATAAATCATAATTTAAAAGCCAGCGATAAAACGTATTTCGGAATAGGTTCCCTTACCGAAAACGAAATTAAAGCTAAATGTGTCAGTGTTATAGGTAGAAAATGGTTTTAGGGTAAGGGGGAATTGTCTTATTGATACAGTATTTTGAGCACGAAGCATCGGTTATAAATATTTAAAGTTCGCGGATACAAAGGAGCGTAAACACCTAAAAATTCAATACGTAGGTGATGCAGTATATCATACATATCAAAGCGTGGTAGTCCCCAGAGTACAATTTCATCTTGGACATCATTTCCTATGCATAGACAGTGGCCCGAAGCAGTGGTCAACTGGTCGCATTAGACTATAGATGGTACCGGGGATGCTCGTAAACCGTTTCCAAAACGAATGTAAATTCTGTATGACTGGGCGCGGTGCCTTGCCGTCGATAACTCAAATATGACAGTTCATTATTCGATAACTTGTAAGGCTCCTACACGCTGACCATCCAATAAACAAAGAGATTGCAATGATAAGAAAGTATATATTGATCTTTAGCGACTTATTATTTATGAACGTACTTTTATCTGCAACTACAATCAGAGTTGCGTTAGATCGCTGTTAGCTGAAAAGGAAATTTGTACCCCCATCTTCGGTTTCAAATCTTAACATTAATAAGCGACAAAACTGAAACGTTAATTATATGTTACAGCGATTCAAAAAAGACACGTTTTAAAAGGACTGTTAAATGCCCCAAGCGGTGTTATGAGAAACGATGACGTGATTTAAAGCAGGCAGTCTAGAACATTTAATCCATAGAGAATTCAGATTTCGCCGCTGTAAAGATCTGCGACTGTGGGTGTATGGCAACTAAGCTCATTATTAATTAAGATCGAAAAATCATTTCATATTCCGTATATATTAAAAAATAATAATAACATACCGTGAGGAACCCAACCGTGCTTGCAAGTCTCGCAGTATCGAAGATGTCGTTTTCCAGGTACAAAACTATCGCAGCTGCAGTTCGGTACAGTACATTTAATGGCCTGAAACAAAAAAAAGATACGTCGATTAATAAATAAAAATTAATTAGAAATAAATAAGGACTCCAAATATGATCGATGTTCTTAATAAGGCTTAAGAGAAAATTAATTTATATCACGGGAATAGTTAAGAAATAAGAAGTCCCGGTGGTGAACGCTTTGTCGATGGCACCAAGCTCATTGTATCATGTCAGGGAAATTGGCGTCAACCTCAATGGCTCCCTAGAGGGCTTTAAAGAGGGCCAATTTGAATATTTTCAACATGGATTTTAAGAAGCGTGAATTTTTATCGCCTAGTAAATATTGAATTCCCGGCACGGGGGACGAGTGATACTGCCTTCGTCTACATGTTAAACGCTTTCGTTTACTTTCCATAAAAACAGCCGAAAATGAAAATTAAGCCGAAAAGGGGTAAACGCGTTCATATCGTCGCATCACTATCAAATCCGTGTACGAGCGGATGTCGGCAAAGAAACAGGCTAAGAGCTTTACACTCTAATTCGTTAGCAAAACTGTTATACCTATTAACATTTCTTAATTGCGTATCGTACGGAAAATAAGCAGCTCCGAATTTAAATTGTACAGTTACTGCACCCAAAATCTTGCGATTAATAAGATCTTAGTCCCGACATATTTACACAGCAATGATTAAATTCACTCAATTCCATTCATACTTATCACAATAGCTTCAAAAACCTGCTTCAATAGTGCTCTTAAAAGAATAAAATTAATAATTAGTAATTTCGTCTTCCCGTCTAGGAATTTTTCAAAATTTGGTCTTATCTCGAAAAGTCGAAACTGATTTCGGTCTCAGGAGTCATTGATTTACATATAAGCCGTTTGTCCTTGTTCTAATTATTCCTGAATTCAAGACAGTGAACTCTTTTACAAGATAAATGCTCTTGCAATATGGTAGAAATGCGTAACGGGAAAATAAGATTTATGTTTTAGGAAATAAGTAAAAATTGTTCCAAAATGTGCACAAAGTGATCATCAAATCATCTGTACCCCTCCCTCCTCTAGTTGCACATTTTTTTAACAATTACTTATTTCGTAAAACATAAATCTTATTTTCCCGTTACACATTTCTACCTTATGCAAGTTCACTGTCTTTGTAACATGTGGAAATAGGGGTAGCTTGCAATTACATCGCATCTCAACTGAATTATAATATTTTTTTCGTCTATTACAAAACTTCGTGGAGGACTGCGTCGATTACTGATGGGATCATTGACATTCCTCTTGAGTCTCAGGTGGTAAGTGTTTTCTTTTTATTATTTTTTTAACTATTTACAGCTAATTTAAGTGTTTCTGGATAGGTAATTTTTATAGCTCATTATAGATCCCAATTTCTTTTATAAAATCTAAAGTGTTTCTTATATCTTTAATTTCTGATATATAATATGCCAGTATTTCTAATTTTATATTTGGTTCTACAGTGTTCTAGAGCGGCGCATTCTTTTAATATATGGAGAACGGTAAGGTTAATTGTTCTGCATTGGGCACATTTCCTGGGTTCTTTCTCTCACAGTAGATGGCAATGTGTCAGTGTAGTACGACCTATTTTTAGCCTTGTTATAATGATTTGCTCCTTTTTTAAAGGGATTTTTTCTTTTGTTGCACTTAATTCGATGCGGACGTCTACTGCGGTTTCTGCCGAGTCCGATCCACTGGTAATTGGCAGTAAGTTTTGTTTTTCCAGCTCATAGTGTATCCCAATGTGCTTTTTGTTTGTTGCCATTCATATTTTTGACGTATGAGTGCAGAGTTTAGCGAATTGTTTGCTAAGTTGAGGCTCTCTGTAGGGGATGTTCGGTAAGCTCCGGCGGTTAAAAGCATTGCACTGTTCCACACGGCCCCAATTTTTGTAGGTAATCTGCGTTTTGGCAGAAAATTGGCGATTTTATAGAAAATGATTTAAATTCCTTCTATAGTAATACAGTTTTTTGAATTTAATACAAACACAACATAAAAAATTTTACATCTCCCCATCACAAAACTAAAAGACTTACCCATCTATGCCTCTGGCATAAAATGGTATCGCTTGTGGAAGGTTTCTATTATAAAAAAAAAAGTGGAAACCGTGTACTTTCCTTTGCAAAGTATTATTATGTGAAATTAGAACTGATGAATGGGTGTTATCTGGGTTGTAGGCGGATCGGACAAATTGTGTTATGAAGAACATTAGCAAAAAGAATGTTTCTAATTAAAACAACGATGATTAGTTTCTGGGTGGGCAAAGTTGACGTTTGTTAAATATTTAAATATCTCGAATATGTTTACGTGGCAGATTCCATACCAAATTACTTCTATTGTGCCTCGATAATCAATTAGCCAGGTCTTGCACAAAGAATTAGGGGTTTTAGTTTGCGTTTACAACAACTGCAAACTCTAAATGAAATCTTATAATAATCAATTATTAAGCGTATTTTACTGCAAGCAAACAAGCCCCATTAGGAACGGAGCGCAACGCATGTAAATTAATGAAATATCAAATTCCTTCAAATTACGGTATGTTAGGGTTTCTGCGAATTTTGAGTGATGTCCAATAATCCCTTGTTATACGCCTGCATTTATTCGAAAAGGGAAACTACGCTGGACATTTATGTGGTAGCAGAGTGAGAAGGAAAATCGGACGCATGTATGCCATGTTTGTGAAAACATTAATAACGGCTGTAAAACAGATTAGCACGAGTTCGGTTTACGCTGTAATAAAGTAAGCCCCCTATCTTATTTGTTGATTTTTTTCGTACGTTTCGGTTATTTGTTAAACAAGAGTAGCTCGAAAAAATTGCAAGCCTAAAAATGTTTGGTAAAGTATCGAGTTTTAATTCGATTTTTGCGTTACCGCAGATTTATGCTTTAGGATAAAATTCACGATCTTGTGTTTTCCACTGTATAGTGGGGTAATCTATTTTCCACCTCCTAAGAGGAATATAAAATAACTGACGCTCAAAGTTAATTTAACACAGAAACAGTCGACGAAAAAGTTGTTAAATCGCGCCAGAAAAGAAAACACAAGCAACTAATATACAAACTAAGACAATATACGCGGCTCGCAGGAGACAACACATAAATTATTAGTGGTGTTTTTGTTATTCTCGCACCATTACACGCCGCTAGCAATGTCTGGTGGTAGGATATTGCACTATAAAGTCACATTTCCCGTTGCTCTGATACAAAAAGAAATATCTGGGGATTTTGTGGCGTAATTCGAAGGGTAAATTCACAAAAATAACTTGCATATCAGGTTTATTAAATTTAAACCACGAAATCCACCCCTATTTGCATTCTTCTTTACTATCTTGCAAAGCAATACGTTTTAAACTACCCTTAATCATGTAACTACAATCGTAAACAACAAAGGTGGAAAATGTAACGCCTTAAATCACGCAATTTACGCAATAAACACAAATATCAATAGAAAATATAGGCACACCTAAATACATGAATCACGTTGACATTGCAATTCTTGTAAAAGGTTCGACATTAAAGCTTTGATAATTCTGTGTGACACGAAAGGAGGCGGAAATGACAGCTATGTACCGGAACTAAGTCCGGGGAAACATTTTTTAAGATGGTGATTCGTTAATCAGAAAGAATGGGGCGCACCCACCCTTCGAGCTTAGTACCTTTTGTCACGATACTCAAATTATTAAAAATCGATCAAAAATCGCAATAACTTATACATTTGCGAATCTTGAATTCTTCATTTGTTACATAAAGACCCAACGTCATCTCGTTTCTAGATATATGCATTCGAACATAATTTATTGTATTTTATAATCTTTTCGAGTTTAGACCTGGGTATACTTAATATGCGTATCCTCTCTAGATGGAAGGAATACGTTATTTCAATCATAGCGGAAAATCAACATTAACTTACAGCACTCGTGTGTTTCCCGTGCTATCGGGGCATACTTTAATGAAAGTGTATACCTAATGAAGTTAACCCGATAAAAAGCTGTAAAAAAGATGTACCTCCGCGCGTTAAAGGCTCAGAATAATGAAACCACATGGGTTTTAAAATATTTCATTTCCGCCTTTAAAACTCACATGTATACCACAACATATTTTAGAATTAACCGCATATGCACCTACGTCAATAAAAAAAATTTCTGGTGACCGCGATTTGTACGGAAGTATCGAACAGGAAAAGACACTGCTGAAAGGTTTGTCCCGATCAATATGATTCTTTTTATGATGATCAAATTCGGAATACTGACCGCTGATATACAGACATCGCCTTCTGTAAACAAGGTTTCCTAAAATAGCGAAAGCGAGTTTTGTTCTGTAATTAGGGATTCAATACTTGACTTGGTTTTAAGGCTGGGGGAGGGAGGGAGGGTTTAACTCGTATACTCAACTACCCATACCAATGCAGAAAAATGAAGGGTTTGATTTCACAACACTATCGTAAACCGAGCCCGCGAGTCAAGTCGGGCGAGTCCGTGGGTCAAGTCCTTCTACTGAAAGCAAGGATGTACGTAATGCAATATTAAGCTTTCCCTCCGGATTTTCAGCACTCATTGAAGATCTCGACATTTAAAAGTTCATATTTCACATTGCTAATGGAGAAGCCTCGTCTAAATTACTCACAGCCACAACCAAACTCTGTAATCACATGCTAACAGTGAGGACCCCGAACAAATTCTTGACATTTTATATGGCGCGTCACTATGCGCCCTAAGTACGTCCCATTTCAGTTGGGAACTGCTTCAGAAGAATAACAGCAAAATTGGCCTACCATTCAGTCAGTTCTCCATGACTTCTTATTTTCAACCACGACAGCTCGGCTTTTCTACTAAAGGAGGGTGTGAAGCCTTATTAATCCATATTATAAGGACATGTGGAATTAAACTGTGATCATCCTAAAATTATACTACTGATTAGAGAATGCAATCTCGCAGCAAAATCTCAATCCCGGTATTTGCGGGATTGTTGGATGTTAATCTCGCGGGATCCCGCAATTTGCGGGATCTCGCAAAACTTTAAATAAATTG